ACAGACAGATAGATAGATAGATAGACAGAGACAGACAGACAGAGACAGATAGAACGATAGACAGATAGACATACAGACAGATATATAGATAGATAGACAGACAGATAGACAGATAGATAGACAGACAGACAGACAGATAGATAGATAGATAGATAGATAGATAGATAGATAGATAGATAGATAGATAGATAGATAGATAGATAGATAGATAGATAGATAGATAGATAGATAGATAGATAGATAGATAGATAGATAGATAGATAGATAGATAGATAGATAGATAGATAGATAGATAGATAGATAGATAGATAGATAGATAGATAGATAGATAGATAGATAGATAGATAGATAGATAGATAGATAGATAGATAGATAGATAGATAGATAGATAGATAGATAGATAGATAGATAGATAGACAGATAGATAGATAGAGACAGACAGACAGACAGACAGACAGACAGATAGACAGACAGATAGATAGATAGATAGACAGACAGATAGAATGATAGATAGAACGACAGACAGACAGACAGATAGATAGATAGATAGATAGATAGACAGACAGACAGACAGACAGATAGAACGACAGACAGACAGATAGACAGACAGATAGATAGATAGATAGACAGACAGACAGACAGACAGATAGATAGACAGAGACAGACAGACAGAGACAGATAGATAGATAGAACGATAGACAGACAGACAGACAGATAGATAGATAGATAGATAGATAGATAGATAGATAGATATATAGACTTAATAAATGTAAGTTTTTGAATCAGGCTGCGAGAACACTTAAATTCCCAGAATGATTTATCTGTCGTGAATTACTTTGAATTACAGTTTAGCAAATTTTTCTCTTCCTGTCGTTCCACTTCAACTTCCTGTGTGCTGTGGCTAATTCAGACACACTCATGACTTGTTTAAGTGTGTCTTCTGTGCGATCCTGACTGAAGCGAGTGGCTTTTATCCTGAGGAATCTGATGCTGTCACAGTTGTGTGAGGTGTTATGAACACGTGTGCAGACAGGCCTGCGGCTCAGCAGTCAGAATCAAACCCCTGGAGTCCTGAAGCGCATCCTGAACGAGCTGTATATTGAGGAAGCAGCGGCTCACCTGTGGTCCCCAGACTCCCTGATGATAGTCTGCTAGCGGTGTAATGAGCTGGCTAACAGAGCTTTATCAGACGCGCTCTTATCCTGGGTCCTGCGGTGAAGCTCGGATTATCCATCAGTCTGCTCCACAGCGGCACAGAGATAGCATCGGACGCTCGTCGTTAGACGGCTCAGCGCACGGCATTGTGGGATGCTGACTGAGGAACACGAGGAGGTTTGAGCAGCTCTGCATCAGACGTCAAGCAGCAGGCGTCCAGCGCTTTTCACAATACAGATGAAGGACATAATTTCATATGCAACTTTAAATAAAGAGCTGAGTGATAATATAGTATGATTTTGCATCACAATTTCAGATGCAACATATATGTGAGGAGAGCATATGAATCAGTCATGCAAAGTGATTTAGTAAGCTGTGCACTAGTCAGTTTACTGGTATTTTCAGTAGTTGTAGATTTGCGCTGCTCTGGATTGATCGCGTCGGTCATTATGGAAATATTCAGCGTCAGTAGATCAGCATAACTTCACACTCCCATCGGTGTCTTTATGACACGGTGCTCTCGCTGTAATTTACATGTTTAGTAAATCTTTAATGCGTTTAAAGTCAGTATCTGAGGCTGGTGGAACAGTGTTTCCGTGTTTAACAGAGACAGTGCTCTTAAACTCTTGAAGTGCTCAGTTAAGCAGGATTATCTTCCGCACGGAGACCAATGTTTGAGAGGAGAGTGCAACACTTTTCCTCATTTATTTGGTTTTCTCTGTGGGATCAGAGCAGGATTTCCTCCAGGAGTCATGATTCCTGTGCCTCAAACACTCCTGCCTCACACTTTATTCTTCAGTTTAGTTATATGTCAGTAATTTAGTCATTTGCAGCTTTGGATGGAAACCGTTATTATGATCAGACCAGAATGAAAATGAATGAAATGCAGTGAGTGATGAATTCATAGAAGATCAGCGAGTGTTGTTTCTGATCTCGTGCCAATCACTGAATCCTTTGAAGAGTTCGTCCCTGTGTGGGGTCAGTAACTGCTGACCTCTGACCTCAGCGCAGATTCATTCATTCACGCCTCTCATTCGTTAGCCGCTGGCGTTTCATGTAGCTGACGAAATCACAGGAATTGAGCGTGTGGCACCATTTAGATGCAGATGAATCACACGCAATCATGTGGGAGGAGGAAGATGAACGACGTCTTCATCAGGCTTCGAGTGTGTCTTTAAAACCGAGAGCTGCTGTGTGTGTGTTTGAGTGTGTGTGTGTGAGTGAGAGAGAGAGTGTGTGTGTGTATGTGAGAGAGATAGTGTGTGTGTGCAGAGATCAGACTCGAACGAGCAGTTGAAACTAGTTGAAACATACACACACACACATACACTCTCTCACACACACACACACTCTCTCTCACTCTCTCTCACACACACACACTCACTCACTCACACACACACACACACACACACACACACAGGTTTGTTTTTGTGAAAAGTGGGGACTCTCCATAGGCGTAATGGTTTTTCTACTGTACAGACCGTATATTCTATTGCCCTACACCAACCCTACCCCTAAACCTACCCCTCACAGGAGACTTTCTGCATTTTTAGATTTTCAAAAAAACGAATTCTGAATTATTTATAAGCCTTTTGAATTACGGGGACACTGAAAATGTCCTCATAAATCACCTTCTCGTTGTAA